TACAATAAAAAATAAAATAGAATTATTAATTAGCTTATCAATTAGTTAAAAGTGGTGCACTTCATTGAAATTTCAAAATAAATGTACACAAAATGCAACCCCAACACTATACTTTTGTAGTGCCCTACAAATTTCGTATTTTCAACTCATTTTTTCATTCTCTATTCTTTGGTGTTGTCGAAGAATAAATTACTTCATTCACCACCACCACTCATTGATTAACATTGTAAAAACTTTATTGAAATAAAAGTTTGGTGTATGAATCAGCCATAACTGGTAATCTATAGTATTAAGGAATTTATTTCTCTGATAAGTAAAAAAAAATTATGTGCTCTCACCTACACCTACGGTGTAGATAGTTGAGACATTTATGCAAGATTATTATCATAACTGTAAATAAATTGATGAATTGACTTTTATGAAACATCTACCAAGCAATGACATTCTACAAAAGAGTCCCCGAAAATATATGAAACATCGAGGATTTTTTTAAGGTGTGTAGAGATGCAATTAATTTTTTAAAGGCCCTTGTGCTGATTTTTAACCTATACAGTTGAGATTTTGGGATGTACTTTTACAGATAACATAATTCCATATTCTTAAAATGTATGTAGATTTAAGAGTTTGTATTTTGTGACATACTTTTACCAGCAACATATTTTGCCACTGTTTTCATGTAGGACTACAAATACTATGTGAAATAAATAAACATGTCTATCCATAACAATTCCATAAAAAATACCATCGTTATACTCTATTTTGACTTGTTCAATTTGACAATCGGGACCACGAAGGGGATTAACAGTTTTACTATTTTTCTGTATACATTCTAATATGACATCTTCTTCAAGCTCTCCCTTTACTATTTCTATTTTGATATCATTGTCATTGTTTTTGGGAAGCAAATAATGTTCGCTTTTGATACTCGAGTAGATGATAGAAAAATAGAAAACTTGCAAGCTTACAGTCAGCTTCCGAGATTCTTTGGAGAAAACCTGCTGAAAATCACCATGTCCATCATATTAGACCATAAACCAACCTTTGTATTGGTCATATTATCACTAAAGTTTACAAAAAAACATTCATAATTTGAAAGGGATATATTTTTAGAAAAAAATTAATTTTTAGGAGAGAAAGTTTTGGCTTTCTACTTCTACATCTTGAAACAAAATAATGATAATAATAATAATGGTCTTTATTATTTCCAATGAAAAAACTACGCATTTCACATCATTTTTACCTAAAAATTAAATATTGAAAATGAAAGGTGAAGTTCAATCCATTCAGCGAGAATATCACTGATAACATGTTGTAGGAATCCTCCAGAGGAAAGAAGTAAGCAATCAAGTTCAAAAAAAGCACTAATTCGTTCATAAAATTACGATTTTGTGTCTAAAAATTAGTGTATCTTGTTATCGATATAATAATTAGTATAACTCAGAAAAGGAGACAAATGACCACAGCAGTCGAAGTTGTTGACACCGAAAAAAATAGTTCACTTGAAATTTACAAATTATTTATTAAATATAAAAGTGAGATTGATACAGGCAACGAACAAAAACAAATTACAGCAATCTAAATGAATGAACAGACTTTTACGAAAACTATTCACTATTGGATATGAAAAAAAAAAGTAATGTAATACAGAATTGGCTGGTTCCCGTATACAGAACTTCCACTGACAAAAATTGATCTTTCATCTTTTTGCATGTCGACTTTTGAATGAACAACCGTAGCAGCTACAACATAACACGAAATATAACACCTGATATGAATTAGCCGCTTATTTAATCATATTATACTTCACCAGGGACTTTTCTTCAAAGTTATTCAATATTGATCATGTTTTCGTTTCCTGTCAGTCTAAAAAACGCGAAACATATTAAATACAGAAGTAAACAAAAATCGGTTTGAACGCTAATTTACTAAAAAAAATTATACAAATCACTGAATTGACTTTCTTTAATTAGTTATACAAAAAGCTACAAACACTTTCGTAAATGCATTCATTGGCATATTTCAACAATTCTTATAGTATTTGCGAACCATTATTTTTTAATCCTTCTGACTCCGTTATTTTCTAAAATTGTTATATTCAAAAAAATTATTCAAGGCAAGCCCGACATAAATACGTTTTTGTTTGTGACTGTTGTCAGACTTAACCACATCGTTTATGTTTAGGTCTTTACCTTTATAATAATAATAATATCATTTATTGCCCAACAGGTAACACCCAATTACAGGACATAATTGAATACATCAGTACTGATAATAGATAAAACAAAACTGAACTTTAATGTGCTCTTGGCACCCTAAAGTTCAGTTCTGACAGGAGCAAATGGCAGTCTACTTGTCTGTGCATTAGTTTATGCAAAAAGGTTGTCGAAGCACATCTCCTTTTTTCTAAAAAAATCAATTGAAAGTGATTGAGAAGACTATAGTGGTCAGAACCCTCAGCTGGATAAATTCCAGTGTTTTTGAAGTACAACAATTTCAAAAATTTTCTTTGAACTTTTTCAATTGAGTACTCAATGACAGAAATAGTAGGGGTTCCAAATAACTGAGCAGTATTCAAGCTTGGATCTGACATATGAGAAATATAATATCTTCAAGGCGTTTATGTTTGTGAAGTTTTGACAATTTCGTGTGATAAATCCTAACATTTTATTGGCTTTGGAAACTTTTTTGTTTATGTGACTGGCAAAAGCCTAGTAGCTTATTACTAAGGCCAATAAGGTCCAGTGTCGAATGTTAATGCTATGATCAATTTTGTCAAAGGCCTTTGAGAAATCTTTGTATATCACAACTATAAATAGTTGGTGAAACCAGTGAGTCAATTCAGTGATTTTTACACAACATTCCATACATCTTTATTTAGAAAATCTTTAGTCAACTGAAACACGATTTTATTTCATGGAATAATACTTGGTTTCTTTGCCTCAACAACAAAACAAAAATTCTGGTTTATTTTTATCTATTTTACTAACATTAAATAACCCGGGAAATAGCCAAAAAAAACAGAAGAAAGAAAAAAGTACAATAAAAATTATTTATAAAGATATACAGATCATGCATATCTTTCAGACAGAAACTGAAAGAAAAAAAATCCGTTTGAAACAACTACAACATAAGTAGAACAAAAAATAAGTGTTATGTGCCATATGCAAGAATCATTTTGACACTGCAGTTTTTTTCAACATTTCCAAAAATGCTAGAAAGAAAATTAGCTCAGTGTTCCATTTTATGCATCATAGTATGGCTTGTTATCAGAAAAGAAAATAAATGCACCTCCAGAAATTCGTCTTTGTTGTTGCAATTATCATCTAGTTTTCCATTTCATTATTGAACTAGTTCGGATTTTGTATGTTAGAAAATTATTATCAATTATAGAGTAAATAGGTTTCTCTTTATTTGTATCCGAGAATTTGGCTAAAGACAAATTCAAAATATAATGGTTCACTTTCAATGGATGAATATTATTTGAAAAATAATACTTTTCTATGAAGTAAACAATAACTATACTTTCATAACATATTTCTATCAATTTGCAATTCAAAAATGAAGACTTCCTTTTTACTGTTCTGGACTGAACATAATTTCAAATAATACAAGACTAATGTAATATTTCGGGAAGAAAAAATTAAAATCAAGTGACACTTGTTAAAATAGGTATTCTCAGATCCACTGAGCTCCATTCTTTTGAATATACGCGAGTCTACAACGGTCCCTAATATTTGCTTTGCAGATGTATTTTGCATATCTTTTTTGTAAAAAAAACACTGCAGCAACAGTATGTAGCAAAGTCCCTAGAACATTTCACTTGATCAATTTCTTGAAATCTTATTTACAGTTTTTACTGGTGTTTTGAACAGATTAAACATTCAATGTTGGTTCCTCTGTATCAATTTTAGAACGATCAGAAACAGTTTTCGAACAGCTTTCACTTTTATTAGAGTTTTTTCTTGTGTGAATTCTGGAATGTCTCTTTAGGTCAAAACTAGCGTAAAAAACTTTTGAACAAATTTCACATTTATATGGTTTTTCCCCCCTGTGAATTCTAGAATGTCTTTCCAAGGCAGAGATGTCGGAAAAAGATTTCGAACAGATTTCACATTTATGAGGTTTTTCTCCTGTGTGAATTGTGGAATGTCTGGCTAGACCAGAACTGTAGAAAAAAGATTTCAAACAGATTTTACATTCATATGCTTTTTGTCCTGAGTGAATTACAGAATGCTTTCGCAAGTCAGAACTGACAGAAAAAGATTTTGAACAGATTTCACATTTATATGGTTTTTCACCTGTGTGAATTCTTAAATGCCTCTGCAAGCAAGAAACATCAAAAAAAGATTTCGAACAGATTTCGCATTTATGAGGTTTTTCTCTTGCGTGAATTTTGAAATGCCTTGCTAGTCCAGAACTATAGAAAAATGATTTTGAACAGATTATACAGTTGTATGTTTTTTGTCCTGTATGAATTGCAGAATGCCTTCGCAAGTCAGAACTATCTGAAAAAGATTTTGAACAGATGTCACATTTATATGGTTTTTCCCCTGTGTGAATTCTCAAATGCCTCTGCAACTTTGAAACACCAAAAAAAGATTTAGAACAGATTTCACATTTATGAGGTTTTTCCTCTGTATGAATATTGGAATGCCTCTCAAGGACCAATCTATCAAAAAAAGATTTTGAACAGATTGTACATTCATATGTCTCTTCCCCTGTGTGAATTTTGGAATGCTTCCCTAACTCGGAACTATCAAAAAAGGATTCTGAACAGATTTCACATTTATAAGGCCTTTCTCCTGTGTGAATTCTGGAATGCCTTTTTAGGTCAAAACTTTGAAAAAAAGATTTTAAACAAATATCACATTTGTACTGTTTCTCTCCTGTGTGAATTCTAAAATGCCTTTTCAAGGCAGAACTTTCTGAAAAATATTTTGAACAGGTTTCACATTTATATGGTTTTATTCCTGTGTGAATTCTAGAATGCTTTTGCAAGTCAGAACTATTGGAAAAAGATTTTGAACAGTTTTTGCAATGATATGGTTTTTTCCCCGTATGAATTCTGGAATGCACAACCAAAGTAGAACTATTGGAAAATGATTTTAAACACACTTCACACTTATACGGTTTTTCTCCTGTGTGAATTCTCAAATGAACAGCCAACGCAGAACTATTGGAAAAACTATTCGAACAGATTTCACATTCATATGGTTTTTCTCCTGTATGAATGACAGAATGCCTCATCAGGTGAGAACGGCGTAAAAAAATTTTAGAACAGATTTCACATTTATGCTTTTTCTTTATTTCCGTCTCATGGAATTTCTCGTGGTTCTTCAAGTAACTAAAGTGAGTGAAAGATCTGGTGCAGAAATTACACTGAATGAGTTTTTCATCTGCATGTACTTTTTCATTGGTCTCAAAATCTGAAAAAAATTAAAGTAAACTCTTAATTGTTTACATATGAGTAGAATAAAATTAAAGATTTGCTAAAAAAGTTTTTCGGCTTTCTTCTTCTCCATCTTCAGACAAAAAAATATGAGAAACTTCCGAAGGAGTGAAGAATAAACTTTATACAAAGAAGTGTTAATCATGCGTAGAAGTTTTTTTCGGGTGATAATTCGAAGACATCCAAGTCAACTTGCCAAGTTTTTATGTCAGTGTTGGTGGTTTGACCAATCAACCGACAACTGCGATAGCAGAACCTGATAACCTGAAATGCCATCGACTTGGATGTCACACCAATAGGTGGTTCCAGTTATGTTTCGCTTGCGTTTACGCAGCTATTTTTATCAAGTACTTTCTTGGTTTTTTCTCATTTTGTCTTCAATCGAGACGTTGCCCAATAGGCTGAAACAGCTGTCTACCGGTGGCTCTTAAATTGAAATCAATATGGGAATGATCAAAAAGTACTTATCTATTCATTTATATATATATATCACTGTTTACTGAAAATAATTTCTTTGACTTTATTTCTGAATGAAAATAATGATATGATTTCAATATAATCAAATTAGCTGCCTGGTAAGAAAATGAGCGTTCATAAAATTGTGAAGAACGTTTGGGAATTGTGAGAAGATTTATGAGATGGAGATTTATGTCATGTGTGAGGTTTCTAGGTACAAGTTTATTCATGAGATATTCGGGAGTTTTACTATCTGGAAGTCTATAAACAAAGTTTATTAGGTGATGCTTACGTCTATTACACATGTACAGCCACCCAATCTCATTAATGAAGCGGGTGGTATGGGTTTTGTAGCTCATTCCAAAAATAAGTCCGATACAGGAGTTTTTTTACCTTTTGTATTTGGCAGTATGTTTGAATGTCTAGGTCTATATAAATAAATAAATGAATATCAGTTAATCTACTTCAATATTTTGGTATCAATTTTCTATCCATGTCTTTTTGATGTTTTAAGTTGTCTTCCTTAAGGTTGAAATTATTCTCATGTCTATTTTCTAATGATATAGGAAAATTTTTGTTATCAAATGTTTCAAATGAATCTCAAAGATTTCATTAATGCAGCAATAATTAATGATCAACAAGTTCTTCAGAGTTTAAACTCATAAATAGACCCATCTTAAATTTAATAGTATTGTTTTGATCTTGAAGTTAGGTAACCTTGAATAAATACCAATTACTTCTTGTGGAGAATGAACCTACCTTTTTCAGAAGCTTCGTTGCACTGTTCAACGCTCTCACCGCAATCTTTATACTGTGACGATAATTCACAGTTCAAGCAAGCATCTTTCTCAGTTGGCTCTTTCTTAACCATAACATTTCCATAAAAAATATCATTATACTCTATTTTGACTAGTTCCGTGTGGCAACCGGAGCAATCTGAATCCTTTGACAAAAACCCTGAATTATGAATGGGATCAAGAGTTATCACAGAACTGTGTCGTTCCTGCGCTAAGCTAGCTTTTACATTTTTCTCGCAGTCTGAAAATGTTTGTAAAGTATTCGTCTGGTACTGTTCAAATCAATTTATATGTTTGATGGATTTCGTCTGATCTTGAAATTTTCCTTTAAAAATTCTATGAAATAGTCACCAACACTGAACGGTTCATCTTCTTGTTTGTTCTTTTATACGGTTAGAACGCCTTAGTGCAGGTATTTGTCCTCTCCTTTCATCCGGATGTCTCTTTAAATATATACAGTAAAATAGATTAACGGGGTCTCTCAGTCAAAAAATCAAAACTCTGCTCTACTTTGCCAAGCTTTCGCTTCTAATGAGAAGCTTCTTCAGGGCAGTAAAAATGAGTAAAAAACATTAATTGAACATATAAATTGACGAAAGAAAGTTAAACATGTATGGATTTTGTGGTTTGACAAATGCATTAAAGTAGCTTACCATTAGAAGCGAAAGCTTGGGGAAAAGTAGAGCAGATCTTTGATTTTTTGACTGAGAGAGTGCGGGATGAACCAAAATTAAGTCACCAACACAGTTGGTGAATATTTTATAGAATTTTTGCCACAACTTTGTGGATCAAAAACACAGAACACGGAGCAAAACCCGGAAAAACAGCTCATCATATTTTGTCCCTGAAAATTTTTGAGTTAACATGATGGAGTCAATTTATATAATAAAATACCTAATGATGTAAAAAAAAACTATATGAAATCCCAAACACAACTGAAAGAATATAATTCTGAAATGGATTAACAATTTTCTAGTCTTACATATTATTCTGTTTTTTTCAATTTGTTATGTTACATTGTCCCTACTATAAACATGTAATGTTTCTTGGGATTAATAAATTCATCATCATCATCATCTCCTCAATTGTTGCTGGAGCATTCAGGGCGAGCATCGTCATTCACATATTTTGGACCTTCTGTGAAACACTTGAACCACTTCTAAACATTTTTATGCAAATTCTTTCATTCCTTTTTGTGATAACAAAAAATCGTCGAAAACACGAAAACACTTTCAACTTTTTTCTTCTCACCAACAAACTAAACATGCTAAACAGCTGAAACTGTGAACATATGTTCAAAATGAGTTAACTAACATAAAAAAAAATTAAAAATGTACTTAGCCCGCGAAATTTGAACCATTCACCTTACTTTTTGCCAAAAAACTTGAAACAAAACCAAATTTTTCAATACTTACATCTAACCTACACGCTGATGATGATACATCCAACTCAAACCAGTTCTCAGTTTGTACTGTTAAGTTGAATCTTTTGTAGCCATCGGCCCCAAAGAGAACGTTGTTATTAGTGAAAACTAAGAGACTGTACTTACTTTTCTCAATTTCTTCAGAGGAATCCTGCTCAGGCCTCAAACCAACCTCTGATTTGGTCATCTGTTCATCGAAACTTTCATGAAAAACACTGTCTTCATCCACTGAGTTGCTTTGATTTATTTCGTTCTTGATTTCACGTTTGACAGAGTACCTATCAACTGACGAGAACTGTTTACTATCAAGACAACTTTCCTGGTATGATGTGAATTCTAAATCAGTGCACTTGATTTTGGAATCTTCGAGTTCCTGAACTGTGACTGTCTGGTCATCCATTATTTCATTTATGTCCCCAACAGAACCTGCACCTGTTCTCAAACAAACATTCGTTTTCATAATTCATCTAGAGATGCATCTCAAATATGAAATATTTTTAAACGAATAGTTTTACTTACATTGCATATTATGAATGCAGATCGTTCCACTTATAGACTCCTTACAGGCTTCACATCTGATCATCAAATCTTCCCTCACCTCTTCTTTTACTATTTCCATTTTGATATCAACATTTTCAGGAAGAAAATTATCCTTCCTTATAGTAGACTCTTCATGATTAATATCCATCATTAAAAAAATAAATAAAGATAAGGGTCAATCAGTGAGTATCTCTATATAACTCGATATATTTTCTTGGCTTGATTATATCTAAAATCAATAATAAATATGACTTCACAGATTTCAATAAACCATCTTATACAGGCATCATCATATAGTTTGCCAAATATAGGAAGATACTTGAGAATTCTCACAATCTGCGAATTCCTAAACTGGATTGTTATTTATTTATTCACAGACTTGCCATTTTACAATAAACATATAAATAGTGTGTGAGAAAAATAAAACGATTGAACAAATAAATCAATATAGGTGCTATTCTTATTTGCTAGCCTGAGAAATCTAATGATGGATTCATTTGAGCCATAGCTAGTAGAACATTCGAAAGAAAAAGGATAGAAACTAACGCTTGCCAAGAAGTTCAATAATAATGTTGAATTATTAGCATAGATACAACCATATGTTCTTCTGATTTCTAAGGATAAGAGATTGTACATACACATTAAAATGTGTTATAAAACATTCTTTGTTCTGAAAATCTCCACATGTCCTGAAGATAAGCCCAAGCATTATTTTAGCAGATGTAATTTGATTGATTTGTGACGTAAAACTGAGTTTCTTATCGAATATGATGCCCAGATCTTTAGTTTCAGTGTTTTGCTCTAATATGACGTCACTTATTGCATAGTCAAACTGTATGTTGTGTTTAAGGGTGTATTTCATGAATTCACATATTTTAATATTCACTGAAAGCTTGTTTAATATGCACCATTCGTGTATCGAATTACCTTCCTTCTGCAGAATAAGACAGTTCTCTGTTGATTCAATGGGTCTGAAAATCTTCAAATCGTCAGCAGAGTAATATGTTATAGAAATATTCGAAATAATATCATTTATAAACAAAGAAAATAGAAGAGGAGTTAGATTACTTCCTTGAGGAGCACCCCCAGTTGGAGTGAACTCGAGTGATTTGTGTCCTTTATATTCCACAAAGAGCATACGATTCTGAAGATAAGACTGCAGTAAATTCAACAGAAAAAAGTTCATTCAGTAGAGGTTGATGGTTCCATTTATCAAAGGCCTTTGAGAAGCTTGTATAGATTGTATCCACCTGTAGCTGTTTACCTAACGCAGTGCTGACGAATTGTGTAAAACACACGAGATTCATTATTGTTGAACGATTGTTGATAAAACCATGTTGAACTAAAGCTATATTTCTCACATTAGGAAAAATGTTGTTATACATACATCTCTTAAGACGCTTTTGAGGCCAGTGTACTATAGAATTCCTCAGATGGCTATGAGCTGTTGTGAAATATAGTTTTTTTTAATGTTATTACTACTGTCTTGCAGTAAAAGTAGAATTCCATAAGCATATATTTCCAGAATATAAGGCTTCACAATACAAACATCAAAAGGAAAAAGTATTTCTACCAACACAAAAAGGTTATTTACAAATGTTATTGTTGTCAGCGCCTGATTTTATGAAAAAAGATGTGTGAATAACCTTAATCCCTGTAAATATTTTCCAGATAGTTGAGACGGTAGAACAGCAATTGTTATATTCTGGTCTTGGATCTAACTCTATTATAGGCAAACCTGAATCAACATTTGTTGACCTCAAGATTAATTCAAAGCTTCGATAGTTTTTTATCAGAGGCCTTAAAGAACTATTGTTTTTCGATGTGAAAGGGTTATATTTTTAGGAGTGATTAATTTTTTTTTTTTTTGGAAAGAAAGTTTTTGGCTTTCTACTACTCCATCTGATACAAAAAAATTGTTTTTCATTATAACCTGATTTTTTTTCAATTTTACCTACCAAATTTTTGCACCAAGTCAACTGGAAATTAGTATCCATATCATTATTTTGTATGGCCGTTGCTTTCTTAGTGGCGAATTTGGCCAGTGAAAATAGTGTTTTCAATTATTGAAAAACATTAAACATATACCAAATTATTGTCTGTCAACTGGCCTACGTTCTCATCGTCTTCTTAATTATTACCTAAATTGCTTGAGCCTCAGTCACTGAAGCTATTTGACAAGTAGTTTTTTTGGGCCCCTATTCAGAAGGAAAAATAGAGTTGAGGTCCCTTTTTCAAGTTTCATAGAAAACTGTTTTATCGCCTTACAAACCATTGAAAAGTTCCTTCTCACGGTAGTTGAGTCTGAAGTGAGAGAGGTTATTCGACCCTGATCTACAATCGCGAGGATTTATTACGGTTTACACATATTCGAACTTGACCATAAATAATTTTTTACCGAAGAAGATAACTTTATTTAGTGAGAAATATTTCAGTTCAGCGTCTCCTGTTGTCGTGGATCCAAAAAAGGATCGTTTTGCTTACGCGAAAGCAAAAAACAGAGCCAATATATGTCGATCCATCAAATCATGGGGCACCTACTTTTTGAGATTTTATATACATTTTAAACCATCAAAAATCACATGGAAGCTGCTGACGCCCAGTTCTTCTGCCATCCTGCGCACCGTTTGTGATGGATCAGTGATCCCCAAGGTCCCAAAATGTTCGTCTTGGATCACTGAAGTTAGCCCAGTTTGGGACTTATCTTCGAGGCTAAATATTCTCGAACGAAATTCATTAACACTATCACTGCCAAATGCCTGGTTAATTTTTCAGGTCGTTTCGGCAGCGCTTTGGTTCAATTTGAATTCGTAGAAAAAAAATAACAGCATCAATGTAAAGAGTACAAAATTCTCTAACGATCAGTATGTACATAGAAGAACAGGCATGCTTAAACCAGATAATATATAAATCAAACCTTGCAACACACACCTTACAAAACAAACATAATTCCCCCATCAGAGAACATAAAACAAGTCAGTAAAGGAAACCGTATGGAAATCTGGGAAAACTTAATATTCATAAATTCAACAGTCAACTTTACTCTATTAAAGAATATTTGTGAAAATAGACATTCTTATGAAGAGAACCTGCAAGGAGAATAAGACAAATGTTTTTTTCAAACTAATTTATTTATTTCAAGATTTCAAGTATACAAATGCTTTTAATATTTTAAAGTTACTAGACTGATTCAATCAATTGTACCCGACACTATTTTATTTAATTTTGATAGCTGTGGGATGTTCTTGGATGTAAGTTCGCAGTGATTGTCATTCCTGAAAATAAAGCTATATTCTATTCTATTATCACCGCGAAACATTATTTTAAGAGGTAAAACTGGAACCTTTGGCGCAGAATAAATCCAAAAACAAACGCTTTTGGAGTTCAGAAACACTCCAAAATCCCCACAGGTTCAACCCAGCATACAATGTGTGACTCCAAGTAGGGATTGTTTACATAGTCACTTTCTTATGGACTAATCTTTATGCATCAACATGGGAATACCACCGTGTATATGATTTTTTTTTGGAATCTTTGGCGCAGAATAAATCCAAAAACAAACGCTTTTGGAGTTTAGAAATACTCCAAAATCCCCACTTGGAGGTCGAAGTTACCTTATTTATCATTTCAGGTTTAACCCAGCATACAATGTGTGATTCCAAGTAGGGATTGTTTACATAGTCACTTTCTTATGGACTAATCTTTATGCACCAACATGAGAACACGACCGTGTATATGATTTTTTTTTGACATATTGTGTAGAATAAATTCTGAATTTATTGCAGATGTAATGCGGCTCGTACGAACCGTTATCTAAGTGACTTAGAGAGAGATATATTGTCCAAGAAAGTACGCTTCTAAAATATGAAATGCTATAAACTATAGCGCATGAAGTCAAAAAAACACCTAACTATTTAAAATATAGTTACAAGGAATAAAAAGAACAGAAAACGTGTTTATATTTTAGCTGGAAACATATAATAAGTGTTAATAAGTTAAAATCTGTAGATGAGAGTATTTAGATTTTTTTAACGACAAAACACAAGTACTACAAGAAAATCCTTAAAGCCCTCGATGCGATGAATTTGAATCGCTGGAGATTAAATTCATTTGAAAGAACGTTTCAGGAAGTTTGTTCCACATTAAGGCAGTTCTTCAAATGAAAGAGTTCTTAAATAGCGAAGTTCGAGGTGATTCATTATAATATTCATGATACTGATATTATTTCAGCATTGATTGACTGGCAGTTCAAATGAATAATTTTGATACACTTTGATAAAAGTGTTATTTGAATATGTTACCTAGTATGAATTCTAAGATGCCTTGTCAAGTGAGAATTCGTGACAAAAGATTTTGAGCAGATTTCGCATTTATATGGTTTTTCTCCAGTGTGAATTTTAAAATGCGTCTTCAAGTGACCATTGGAGGAGAAAGATTTTGAACAGATCTCACATTTATATGGTTCTACCCCTGTGTGGATTATAGAATGCTTTCGTAAGCTATAACTGTGAGAATAACATTTTGAACAGACTTCACATTTATAAAGTTTTTTACCTATGTGGATTTTGGAATGCCTTGTTAAGCCAAAACTATCGAAAAAAGATTTTAAACAGATTTCGCATTTGTATAGCTTTTCCTCTGTGTGAATTCTAGAATGCGCCTTCAAGTGTGAATTACAGGAGAAAAATTTTGAACAGATTTCACATTTATATGGCTTTTCCCCTGTGTGGATTCTAGAATGCCTCTTCAAGCCAAAACTATCGAAAAAAGATTTTAAACAGATGTCACATTTATATAGCTTTTCCCCAGTGTGAATTCTAGAATGAGTCTTCAAGTGTGAATTACAGGAATAACACTTTGAACAGATTTCACATTTATATGGCTTTTCCCCTGTGTGGATTTTGGAATGCCTCATCAAGTCAAATTTATCCAAGAAAGATTTTGAACAGATTTCACATTTATGAGGTTTTTCTCCTGTGTGAGTTTTAGAATGCCTCTGCAAGATGGTACCAGTAAAAAAAGATTTTGAACAGAATTCACATTTATACGGTCTCTCGCCTGTGTGAACTCTAGAGTGTATTTTCAAGCGAGAATTACTGCAAAAATATTTCAAACAAATATCACATTTATGAAAGTTTTTCCCTGTGTGAATTCTGGAATGCTCTCTCAAGGCCAAACTTTCGAAAAAAGATTTTGAACACACTTTGCAGATATATGGTTTTTTCCTAGTATGAATTTTAGAATGCCTTTTCAAGGTAGAACTATCAGAGAAAGATTTCGAACAGATTTCACATTTATATGGTTTATCCTGTGTGTGAATTCTCAAATGCCTCTTCAACTTTGAAGCAATAAAAAAAGATTTAGAGCAGACTTCACATTTATGAGGTTTTTCCTCTGTATGAATATCGGAATGCTTCTCTAGGCCAAAACTATCAAAAAATGATTCTGAACAAATTTCACATTTATAAGGCTTTTCTCCTGTGTGAATTTTGGAATGCCTTTTCAAATGAAAACTTTCGAAAAAAGATTTAAAACAAGTTTCACATTTATATGATTTTATTTCTGTATGAATTCTAGAATGCTTTTGCAAGTCAGAACTATTAGAAAAATATGTTGAACAGAATTCGCAATGATATGGACTTTTCTCTGTATGAATTTTGGAATGCACAACTAAAGCAGAACTACTGGAAAATGATTTTGAACACACTCCGCAATGGAATTGTTTTTCTCCTGTTTCGGAACGACGTAAAAAAATGTCTGCTTCATGGGATCTCTCGTGGTTCTTCAAATACCTAAAATCAGTGAAAGATCTGGAGCAGAAATTACACTGAATGAGTTTTTCATCTGCATGTACTCTTTTATTAATCTCAAAATCTGAAAAAAAAAAATTAAAGTAAACTCTTTTAATTGTTTACGTATGAGTAGAATAAAAATGAAGTAGAGATTTGGAAAAAAGCTCCTTGACTGTCTACTTTTACATTGAATGAAAAAAATGTGAGAAACTTCTGAATGAGTGAAGAATAAACTTTCAACAAAGGAGGGTAAATAACGCATAGAGGTGTTTTTCAAATGAAAACTCGAAACAAATGTCCTCCAAAAACAACTACTTTTACACAACATTGAATTACAAGAACTTCTTGTAAAGAAACTTGAAACTAAACTCAAGAGAATCATGAAAATTCAGTAGTCTTAAAATACTCACACATATAGGAGTCTATATACAGGAACTATTGTTATTCCTTTTTAGAAACAAACGTCTTTTTGAAAATAGCCTACCACAAAATGTATATAACAGTAGACATTTTGACAATGTATACCCAAAACATAGGCTAACTGTTACAGAAAGGAGCCCGTTCTATCAAAGCATGAAAATGGAACAATCCCCCCACCAGCATCAAACAAATGAATAGACTTGGTGAATTCAAAAGGGAAATTCATAAGATTCTACTGAATATAGAACCCTATACTATTGGCTGAATACCTCAGCCATATTGTCTGACATAAACTATCTTACTGGTGACGTTGTTTCTGTTTTTGTGTCCTTTCGCGATTATTCTTCAGAAATAAAGATATTTATTATTATTATTACCTTTTTCAGAAGCTTCATTGCACTGTTCAATGCTCTCACTGCAATCTTTATACTGTGGCGATAACAAGCAAGTATCTTCAGCAGTCGGCTCTTTCTTAACCATAACATTTCCATAAAAAATATCATCAAACTCTATTTTGACTTGTTCTGTGTGGCAATCAGAGCAATCTGCATCATGAATGGGATTGAGAGTTAACACAGGTATCTGTTGTTCCTGTGCTAAGCTAGCTTTTACATTTTTCTCGCAGCCTGAAAATTTTTGAAAAGTATTCTTCCGTGTTCTGTGTTTTATCAAATCAAATCAGGATTCTAATAAGGATTATTTTCACAACGTTTTGGTAAAGTGACATTCGCCATCTTCTGGTGATGTCTGGAGTTTTACAACTTGACTATCTAGTTGTAAAACTCCAGACCGTCACAACACAGTGGGAAACCCGAAAAAACAACTTATCATATATATTATATGACAACCTAATATACTAAACAGCTGAGTCTGGAAACATATGTTCAAG